TCGCGACCCACAGGTTGAGAACCGCTGCCGTAAGGGAACTTTAGCAGTTCCTCTGGCTGCCTACGATCATGTTATAATTTCTCACCTAAGTCTCTGAAGTCTGTGACCCCAGGCTCTAGACTCCGGGAGATGTAAGGGGAGGTGATGGTATCCAGGGCCTCATGAGGCACTCAGACAGGTTAAGTCTAGGGTCCCTTGGAGTAGGTAAGCCTTGAAAAACATTCAGGTAGAGGGGTTCTATGAGGCAGTGGGAGAAGGGCCTGTGATATATGTTAAGGCGTGCCTAATCAGGAGGCACTGGGAGAATGGGGGTGGCTGGTTGTCAAGGGGGTTAGTGGGGGGATGATGCAAATATTCCCTCGGGAACAGTTTGAGCTGTGTAGCATTGACCTTCAGACAGAGGGGATGGCGAGGCCAAAGAACACTGCCTGGCACACTCACAGTCTGGGCTTCTTGGAAGGGGTGGCTTAGGCCCGTCTTGGCCTCTGAGTCATAGAGCCAGGCGACCCAGGGCCGGCAGGAGTGCAGACACTCCTAATCTGCTGCAGGCTGTCTGGGTGAAGGCAAAACCAACCACCAGGCTACATGGGGAGTGTTGTCATCTTTTATTCTGGTGAGACCCTACTCACTTCCCTCAAATTAAAGATGCATAGATAATAGGAAATTATAATAATAGTAAAAACAAAATAGTAACAAGACAAACAAAAAACCTGATAGAGGAAAGGGGGAGAGAATTGTACCCGAAACCAGAATGAGAACTAAGTGCATAATTTGGTTCTAAGTCTCCTGGTTCCCTGAGCAAACAGTGAAACATAACAGGATGCATAATCTGATATTGCTCATTGATAGACATTTGTCCTAGTACTAAATTCCAGAATGATTCCTTGGCTCTTACATGAAGGATATAGAGGAATATAAACGCATTGTGGACAAAACTTAGAAATGCTGGTCGTGGAGCTTCAGGTATCCTTCATCCTGCTCGCCTGCCCATTCTGTCTGCCCCATCCTAGGAGTAGCAGTCATACTCATCATCTTGTGAGACCTCCATATTCCTATTTCACTGAGCAATGTGGCCCATAAGGTTCATGTCCCTTGAGAGCAGTGGGCCAGGAATGAGGAATCCTAGGTTCTCTTCCCAGCTCCTTGCAACCTTGAAGTTACCCATCCTCTTTGTGCCTCAGTTTTCCCAAGTTTAAAATGAGATATTGACTTTATCAGGAGGAGCATTCTATGTTTCAGGTAGATTACATATATTATCACTAATCCTTATTGTAGTCAATAAGATGGAGGCACCATTATTTCCCATCCTACAGACAAACTGTAGGGGTTCCTGAGGCGATGGGAGAAGGCTGTTTGGTGACATATCCAAGCCTTTTCCTTTGCATTTTATTGTGAAGGCCCTTCCTCTGAATCTGAGTTCACCCCACACTGGCTGAGTCCCTGCCATGTGTGACATCCTACTCTAGGCACCAAGGGTGAGGGTGAGAACAGTCCCTATTCTCAAGACACGTTGTGAAGACTGATCAGGCATCTTGAGTATAAAGCAATGTGCACTAGTTACTTTTGTGAGACTAGCACTGAGTGTTACTTTTATCCACAGCTGGGCAAGTCTGTGGTGGCCAAAGTGAAAATTCCAGAAGGCACCATTCTAACACTAGACATGCTGACTGTGAAGGTGGGTGAGCCTAAAGGCTACCCTCCTGAAGACATCTTTAGCCTGGTGGGCAAGAAGGTCCTGGTGACTATTGAAGAAGACGACACCATCATGGAAGAATCTGTAGAAAACCATGGCAAAAAAATCAAGTCTTAAAATAAAGTGCCATTCTCTGAATTCTCAATTGCCTTGTTAATACTGTTGGTTATGTGGGTGAGATGGGACAAGAGTGGTCTCCAAAGACATAATTCTCATCCACTCCTGTCCCTGACAGCAGGCACTTTTGGGCCAGGCCCTATGTCAAGCCGTTGAAGGAATACAGAAAACAAATACAACCATTTCTGCTTCAGGTTGGCTGGCCCAGAAGGGGAAGTGGGCTCAAAAGCAAATCATCACCTCCAGTTGTGTGGGTGCAAGAGGGATGAGTGCTGGCTAGATAGGTCCTGTCTTTAAAGCCTTCATTCTTATTGCCCACAAAGGCAACCCAAATGACCCGAAATCTCCCTTCCAGACCTCCAGCTGTCTTTCTCCATGGCCCTATCCCCTGCCCACTGTGGGGATCTGTGTTCAATTAGCTGTATAGTGATCACTTGGTGTTAGAGAAAGTATTGGTCAAAGGATCTTGTAGGCAGTGTAACACCCAAGGTGCTCATATCTCTGAGAAAAGAGAGAGAACTTCTTTCAACAGCTCTGAAGGGTCTACTACGTGGCAGACTCTTTTAGGTCCTGAGGATGAGTCCAAATCCCTTCCTCATGGAACTTCCGTTCAGGGGGGGACATACGGTATACGATAAACCATGAACATAGTCGTTAAATCAGTATGTTAAAAGGTGATATGTGCAATGGGGGTAGAGGGGAAATAGAACTGAGTGAGGGAGATGGGGAATGTAGGGCTTGCTGTGTGAGCATGTTATGGCAACTTTGAATATGGTGGTAATGCTAAAATTAGCCCTTCTATGATCCATAATGAAATTGTAAACCCAGCTAATAAAAAAGATTGTCTTGCCCTAACCGGTTTGGTTCAGTGGATAGAGCGTTGGCCTGTGGACTCAAAGGTCCCAGGTTCAATTCTGGTCAAGGGCATGTACCTTGGTTGCGGGCATATCCCCAGTGGGGAGTGTGCAGGAGGCAGCTGATCGATGTTTCTCTCACATGGATGTTTCTAACTATCCCTCTCCCTTCCTCTCTGTAAAAATTCAATAAAATATATTAAAAAGAAAAAAAAGATTGTCTTATGTTTGAACAGCAGCGTGAACCTTTCACAGAGATTTTATATCATATTCCCCTTTGTTCTTTTGAACCAATAGAGATTAATGATTCTTTTCAAATATATTTTCAAATTCTTAATCTTTGTTCACATTTGGCCTTGTTTACTATAACTCCTCTGGTTTCAAAGTGTATATTTGCATCTTTTCAAATGCATAAATTAGCCTTTTGAAGTTTATTTACTTGTGAGCATAGAACCTTCTCTTGCAGATCCCAAAACAGTTTCTGGAAAGGTACTCAAGTCTGTGTGAATGGGGTGGGATAGGAATCCTGGGTTGTACTCATGTGTAAAAGAAAACCCATAAAATTGAGGCTAAGAACTAAAGTGTGATAGTATCAATTTCTGGTTGAAACTCACTCCCTTTCATTTTTTTCCCCTATAAACAGACCTTGAAGAGACCATCAAAATTTCCTATTCCAGGGCATTTTTTTCTCTACAATAGCAGAGAAGGTGACATTTAAATATCTGAAACTTCCTAACAAGAAGAGACATAGCATTAGAGGGATGTGTTCCAGGGCCTGGAAACAGGATGTGTGTCTGGAAGAGAGGGAAGGGCCTGGCCTGGGCTCTAGCTGAGAATGTGTAGTGAGTGAACCAGTCAATCGCCTCCACAAACAGTACCCCCATATGTATGAATTGCTGAGATGTTTTCCAAGAGTCATGAGAGTGGGGATGGTATAGTCAGGGAAGACTTCCTGGAGGAGGTGGTTCTTTCGTTCAACCTTGCAGGTTGAGAAGTGACTGACAGTTAGGGCGTAGGCTTGGGAAGTGCCCAGAGTGTCCAGGAACTAGCAGGTGATGATTTGGCAAGGAATGGCCACGTGGAGAGGAAAGAAGGGACTTGGAAGGGGTCAAGAAAGAAGCAAGGGCTTCAAAGCCTGCTGAGTTTGGACTTTGTTCGATAGGCAATAGGGAGTCATGGAAGGCTTCTGAGCAGAACATGGCAGACTCAGACCTACGCCTCCCTCTCTCACACTTATCCTCCACCTAGCCTGGCTTCTGGGGCAAGCTGTCCCCTCCCCATAGTATGAATTCCTGCCACCAGAAAGAACCAAAGATGGCTTTAGTGTTGGTAAAGGATGTTCACAAAAATGCCAAAAGCTACATAATACTGTCATGGATAGGAATAGCTGGGAGGCAGGGTTTGTTTTCACGTAAGGAAGAACTTAGTGAATTCTCTTCAGAAGTGGTAAAGTCCCCTTCACTGAGGATATTCAATCAGGGACCCACTGACCACTGCAAACAAATGGTGGAGGGGGTGGAAAACGAGCAAGACTCCGTCCAGGCCTAGATGCCATGAACATGAAACAACAACTCCCAATGCAGACCATGATTAAAAGACAATATTCAGCCCTAGTCAGGCCCAGTTGGTAGGAGTGTCCTGTACACCAAAGGTGGCAAGTTTAATGCCCAGTGAGGGCACATACCCAGACTGCAGGTTTAATCCCTGGCCGACCGATCGATGTTTCCTCTCCCTTCCTCTCTTGAAAAATAAATTTAAAAATTTTAAAGAGACAAATATATTTTATGTAAACATATATATTATAAAATTGCTGTCATTTACACATATCTGCAAGCAATTTGCTGTATCAATTAAGAAATTTCTACAAATCTGAGTGATCAATACCCTTGCAGACATGGACCCCAAGGAAGCTCAGTCCTCTCCTGTTAATATGCAAGGAGTGTGGAGATGGCAGTGTGGAGTAGCAGTTGTCTCAGTGCTAAACACAACAGGATCTCACACATCCTGGCATGGCACAGCTCTGTAAAGTTTTTAAGGCTAGTTCCTATCCTTGGCTCATTTGAGACTCACAGCACTGGTAGGTAGGATCTTTACACCCATTTTATAGATGATGCTCCGAGAAGTAAAAAGTGACTAGCCTGAGGTCAGAGTTGATTGTGGACCATAACTGCAGTCTTCCAACTGGTGCAGGCCTTGGCACAAAGTAGGCATTTGATAAAAGCCATTTTTCAACCTTTATAGTCTCTGCTACTCTCAAATCCCCCCTCCGGGTATAAGACCTCATCTCAAGAGCCCAAGGGAGATAATCCAAAGCGAGGTTTGCCCTAACAGTATGGCCTTGTGGACATAAGCACAGACCCTAGCTCCATTAGCTGTGTGACTTGTGTCTCGATTTTGTCTCAGTTGGGATAACTTTCTAAGTCCTAGGGATGATGTGGGAATCAAATGAGTTCATAGCCATAAAGCATTAGAACAGTGCCCAACAAAGAGCAAGGGCCATTGTTACTCGGCCCCTGTTGGCTGTGGGACCAGTCTGGATTTGCAGGGATGAAGAGATGTAGAGTCAAGTGTACCCCTCTTGCTGTCGGGAATGCCTCTGTCTGAGTTCAGTTTTGGGCCATTCCCAGTAAAATTCCCCTTTCTCAGGATTCCTGGAGCATAGTGTTTAGACACCTATTCAAGTTAGAGTTTTAAATTATTTGGTTAGAACTAAAGGCACTTTTGAGGTTCCTTCTGTCTTGTATTCTCATTGTATTACATTGTTCCATATGAAGTGCCATTTTTAGGTAAAAAAAACTATTGGAAATTCTCATTTTATGGTTCAAACTAATTAATGCGCGTAGTTTGTTTAAACCATGAGGGAGATTCAGCTTTGTGTTTTCCTCACCCTACCACTGTCCTGTCAAGCTTAACAAGATAAATTTAATATGGTATAACTTGAAAACTGTCTGGGGAACTTGACAAATCAGGATGCTGAACCTTTAGAACTGAGGCACAGGCCCTGGAAGGAGGCCTCCCTGAGGTCCTGCTGGTTTGGCCGCCTCTATTTATGTCACTTCCGGAAAGTGGGGCTCTATGGGTTTCCTTGGCAACACCTGGATCTGAGAAGCATACTGTGTCTGGGCTGCCCAACTCCACTCATGCTCTGCTTTTGATTGGAAGACAGTGGGAAAACTGCCAGTGGTTGCTTAGTAACTGCCACCTGATGATCCTTCCCTACATCCCCAGGAATGAACAAGCAGTTAATCTCCCAGGTTAAAGGCTGGGCCAAAGGGCAAATTAGAAACTTGCCTAGGGGTGGGAGTGCTGGGCCGCCCTTAATCACCGTGGGCTACTTTAAGCAACTTACTTTCAGGTAAGGACCTGTCTCCCGAAATGTACAGTGAGGTCAGGCTGAGTGATCTGCCAGGCTCTCCCAGCCCAGCTGCTCTGTGACGCTGGGAGGGCAGGGACTTACTGAACTTTTCAGGATGGGGAGAGTGCAGGACACAGCTGCCCTTAGAAAGCTTCCAATCTAGTTAGAAAGATAGCTCCCAGGTTTGTGGCCCTGATGCTAAGATTCTAGTGGCTTTCGGAGACTTCCTTGGGGGCAGTTAAGCCCTGGGAAGACCGAGACAGGCAAAGAAGACGGGCTTTCCTATATAAATGTCATGGGGGCAGGGGAAGAGAGCTGCAAAGGCCCAGAGGCCCACCAGGGGACAGTTCCACGGGAGGGTATCTGAAAAGAGCCTCAGCAGCTAGTTGAGAAGCAGCCCAGGGGCAGCCCACAAAAACCTTGCATGCCAAGGTGAGGTGACGTGCTCTTCCCCCCTGGAGCCCTTGGAACCTTTTCATTGTCCCGAGAGGCTAGTGCGGTTTTAGGCAGATCACTCTGGTTATGGGTGGAGGACGGGAGAGGGTTCAGGCGGGGCGCTATTAAGAGGCGCTTGATGCTGCTCCGAGGGGAGGAAACGCGGATGAGCTGAATGACGCCGAATGCAGAGGAGACAGAGCCCAGGGGCACTGGTTAGATGGGAGTCAGGGCTGGGTGCCTCTCCTGCATTCGCGCATTTATTGTGCACCTACTATGTGTCAGCCAGTTCTGGCTTCTGTACAGGGAGGAGGTCTAAGGCTAGTGTAGTGTGATTGGTCAGGATGCTCACGGCTCACCTGCGAGGGCGTCCTTTCCGGAACCCGGCCTAAAAGGGGAGGCCTGCTGAGCGAGCAGCAGAGCAGCAGAGGACCGAAGTTTAAGGCACGTCCGGACCCGGCCTGGGAGAGCACCTGTGACAGCGCAGGCGTGACCGGTGGGGGTGATGGCGGCTGTGCTTGGAGAGCAGGCGGCGGGCAACGCACGTCTGGGTCAGGTGTGACCAGAGTCCCGGGAAGTCTAAGGGCGGTCCCTCCCATCGGGCCCTAGGGCAGCCGGGGGATGCCGATGGCCCCTTCCCAGAGCCGCAGGGCCGGGTAGAGCGGCTCCTGGAACGCGGCGCGGAAGGTGTGGAGGTGGCTCATGCCGTCCGACACGTTGTAGAAGGCGAG